GATAGCGATTTGATGCCACACAATGGAGTTCTTCTTGTTGATTCCAATTGTTTTTCGGTAGTGTTTATAATGAGATCTCCGTCCTGTTCCTTCACCTGAAAATGACAGTGATGTTTAAGGAGCTGTTTAGTCTTCCAATTGCGTGGACTCTGCGAATTATACCCCCATACCCTTTAGAAGGACAACATTCCCCATAAAGCTCTAGCTTGGAACATAAATCCTGCAAAGCCAAAAAACTACTAACTGCATGTATTGCACTTCATGCTACTGCATATGCACTTGATATCATCGCAGTCACTCGGGCCATTCCAGGAGGGATAAAGTGGGCCTCACTTCCCATCTCCGTTGACGCAACATTTCCACCATTGATTGTTTTCTTCCTAGACCAGACACATACCGGTCACTACCGGTGGAGCCAGGCGCGGGCTCTCTCCCTCCTTCTACCTCCCCGACTGGTCGTGATGTTATCGGCCGTAAAATGTTGTGGGGTGTAACTGAATGCGTACTTTACTACTAATACTTGAACAACAGTTACAAATGCTGCTAGTCTACAGGCTGAGTACAGCATCATTGGGAGGATCCCATCGAGGAAACGCATTAGCTTGATGCGGGAGGTGGTCGTGGCCGGCCTTTGGAAATGTTTCCTTTCTAGTCGAAGGGATAATTTTTTGGTTGCTGATTTCACCCATTTCATGCTCCCCCTGGCTAGCGGTGGCAGAGTTATTACACAGTTATTGTTCCTGATGGACGGTTACGGTAGCTGTTTAGCGACGACCTCCTTCCCTCACCCAGCTCAAACGGACCAGATTCTTGAAATCTAGAAACTTGGAAAAATTAGGTTGAAACAAAATTTGGAGATCCGCCATGGGGTTTGGTTGTTTTTGGTCTTTTTTGGGGTAAGACCGGAAAAGGGGGCTCGTAACTAGAGAATTTGGGGCTACGAGGTTGAGACACCACCACTGCGCAACATAATCAGTCAGTTTTCCCAGTTCAGGGTATCCAGGTACTCTATTCGCCATTTTTCTGGGTAAAGGAGGACACGTCTTTCTGGCTATAATATCCGAACATGTGGTTTTTACTCAAATCCCGTGTGTTGTAGCCGTTCCTCCTACAAATGGCCGATCAAAGGGGGCGGGTTTGGCGCGTTGACAGCCCTTTCCTGCCAGCCTTTTCTCCACCAATTGAGGAGTGCAAGCGAAACAATTGGTGGAAGACGGGCCGAAGCCGCGCAAAACCCTGCCGCCTGACATGCCTGATTGAATTCTACGCGATCTGCCGAAATACTAACCCCTCCCCCTGCCTTCCTTCTGGAAACGTTACGTTTCGTTTGAAGAAGGAGTGCACCTCCGCAACCTACTACCTCAGCCGTGATCTACAAAAGATGCTCAGTGAGAGTGACAAATCTCACGTCGTACGTGTGCAGACTGCCAAAAGTCGGATAGTCCTCGATATCACCGGTTTTTACGTTGTAACACGATCCATGTAATGGACAACGAATTTTACCACGTGAATAAATACCTGAAAGAGATTTTAATTCTGAGCAATCCCTGGAAGAAACGAACTCAGAATGACGTGAGATGGCAGGTTCAAAATTGGCTACAGCTGCTTTCGAATGAAAGTGTACGAAAAGGCTGGGAAGATTAACTGTACAATCACATCCACGGGTCCTGATCCTTGCCATGTTCAAGGTGATTGTGTCCGCAGCAGCTGCACTAGCAGTCCAGTTTTCCGCTCGAAACTGCACGGGAACCATACTGAAGGGTAGTGACACCCCGAAGCCAACACCATAAGCTGCGTTCATACTTTGCGGCAGCGTCCACCAGCGTCTACCAACGTCCACTAGCGTCTCGGTCCAGACAGCGTCAGCGACTGAGGAAGTGTACATATCAATCTAGCGTCTACCAGCGCGCACCCGCGTCTACCAGCGTCCTGGAAAGGGTAGTATGGCGCGAACGACGGTAGTAGACAGCTGGTACCCTCCCATTGCGCCGTACCCTCTACCAACAGTCTGCCACTGTCCCACCTGCCCATACTCTACAGCTGTCTGCCCTACTATCTCCCCATACTCTACAAGCTGTCACTACCCTTCTAACGTGCCATACTCTCCTCTCCCGGACGGTAGGCGCTGGTGCAAGCCGGTACACGCTGGTAGACGCTAGGTCGATACCTATGGTTCTTAGGCTCGAAACGCTCGTAGACGCTGGTAGACGCTGGAAGACGCTAGGTCGCTATCTATACATTTCTAGCTACTGACGCTGCCGGACGCTCGACAAGGTATGGACGCTGCCGCGAAGTATGAACGCCCTACCGTAGCCTAAGGCATTACTTACCTGCGCCCTCTTACTCTAATTATGTGTTCCGTTGCGGCGCCTTGGTTTCTGCGTAACTGTTGCATCTTTAGCATAGATATGCGACGTAAAAGCCGGTCACGGTATTTTCACATTCCATCCAGTCAGCGGGCACTTCGAGCAAAGAAAGTGGCACGATACTGCACCTGCGCACCCATTCGTGCCGCCTATGGCATGGACCAGTGAAAGTGCAGTTTGTCTTCAACGTTACAAAGGAAATTCTGTGACAATAATTTACCCTTTTCCAATGGAAAATCATAATGCGGACAGCGGCCAGATGTAGCGTAGAACTTGCCGTTGTCGTTGATTACCAAAATCGGTGTGTCTTTAACTTTAAATTCCTTTTTCCTTAAAAGAAAATCATTACGTTTCACGTTGCTTGAGTTATAAATGAGTTCTATGAAGTTAAAAGGCTCACGTTCCGGGAGGGACATCAGACGCTTTTCCCAGTACCTCAGTAACAACAGGTGACGTATCACT